GTGTTCATCGCTAGTACTCTTTGGCCGATAGCTTTCTGTACGAAGATCTTCAAAAGACTTTGCCCTTCCGGAACTCTTCCTCCGACTAAARAATCTTCTCATYTTTTTCAATGGCTTCCATTTCCAAATTGACTTTCTTTTTTTCTCATTCTTGTTGTCTGCGCCAKYRACAGTTTCTTCATTTCTGTGAGGAGGTTCAGAGATTTTAACATGTGGCTTAATGGATTGTAAATGTTCATGAGACGCTGATGTTGAACCCATCTCAGAGCTCGATGCGTGCGAAAGCCTTTTTGGGATGGCTCCAGTGCTACCACCAATAGCCGAATCCGCTGACTCAAACTTAGCAAGGAAATCTGCTGACAATTTTCCAGGCTTTTTGGTGGATGACCCAACATCTGAAAGAAATATTTGTATTTAAGATTGAWATTGATTTCTGTTTAAAATTAGAAAAGTGAAAGTAAAAGATTAAAATAAAATTGAAAACTATCACCCAGGACTCGAACCGTGAACCCTTACAGTGCAGTACCAACACTAAGACTACTTGACTACCTTGTTAACTTTTGATAAACGTTTTTCCGTCAACCGAGGGGCGTATATCGGGGTATCGRTACATGGGGTTTTTCTTAGAACAAACTTTGTTGTGTGGCCACACGAGCAGCAGTATCGCGACGCAAAACAACAGGGAATCAATATTTACATAAACGCGCGTTTTATTGAAAATTGCTTTCGTCGGAAAATTTCTAAAGAAATGCAACACAAAATAAAATAATATAAAGAGTGTTTGTTTGCCTATTACATAAACGAAGATACCTTTGATGATAAAAGCTATTTAAGGTAAATTTCGAAGAATTCCTAAAGTCRATTTACATGTTCCAAATATACCGCAAAACRTGACAGTGGATTGAATTCAAGGTTTACCTTGAAAAACATTTAAACAATTGCATCTATTCATGCCAAGACACGGAAATGAAAAAAGGATTTACTTTCTACTTTTAATACAACATATCAATTATAATATTCCTTTCACAGGAGTATAAACTGCTATAATTTTAAATTTTGATATTTCATAGTACAAACGACCAAGTCAAGTACTAATAATCAATAATTCATACAAGTAATTAGCATAAATCAATTAAAACAGATACCCAAACATAAAATAAKTAGATGGCATTCCTTGAAAGTTATTATCAAAAAATCAAAATACATCTGAAGGAAACTGAAAAAAAAAAGATTCCAATAAATTCTGAGTAGAATTGTGAAACTAATCCTGTGGACTTTATAGTATTGAAATATTTGAAATTATTAAAATACACAACATCCTTCTGAAAGCATGTCTCACAAATTAACATTTGATAGAATTAAAATCCAGCAACAATCACTTGAATTTGATCACCTGAGTCACTTTGTARCAGCAACACAGTTTTCACAGACAAACAGTACTTATATAATACTCATCGGTCCTGTTCAAACATACCTAGTAGCTGAGACATTATTACCAACCTCTACTGTATGTTGAATTTATAAGCACAAAAAACTTGAACAATATCAAGTTCTAAAAATATAAACGCATGGTCCATAGTTGCATAAATAACTCTCTTGTCAAATCTTGATGAAGTTTATAAAATACTTGCATAACATTTCTTAACTGCTGACACTAAAATTGAAAAGGTAATGTAGGAAGTATTCAAAGGTGTTGGTTGTTTTTGATTCTCACTGTCACAATGAGGTTGATACAATCATTGAAGCATTTCATTTACATCATGTGACTAATCAAACACATGGAATACATAGAGAGAAACGATTACTATTTTAACAAATACTAATTATAGAAACTGATTGACTTTCTGTTATCAAAAATGATTGCTATCTCACAATACTTTCACATCATACTAATGACTTAGAGATATAAAAAATAAGAATGAACACACTGAACTAACCTACATGTATCAATTAGAAACATTAAATAACAATTAACATTCATTGATGATTTCTTTTCATAACTGGAAAATTGCAGATTGGAGGAAATAAAAAAACTGGTGCATGAATCTCGTAGGCCTACCCTTTTAATTACCCCTGAATACTATATTCATTGAGTGATATTGCATCTGATGAATAAGTTAAAAACACACTATAATTAAAGAGGCAAGTTTTGGATCTGCAGTCTCCTCCAAAGACTTTGTTATGGCTGCTAAGGACAGTAAACAAAGATGGTTCTGCGTAAATAGATATCTTTATTTTGCCTTTAGGTCTTCAATATGAGAATCATGTCTGCTTAATTGTATTCCATTTAGAAARCCACTAATATGATTGGTGCAGGTGCTTTTTAATTGATAGATCTTAATGGAAATGATTGCAAATCATCAATTGAGGTTGCTTAATGATGTTTCTTCTCCCATGATGARAGCTGACCAAGATAATACTGCTTTGGACTATCATTATGACAGAGCTATGGCAAATACTAAATGTAAGTGATGCATTACATAGTGAGAGTGTGTAGTTATAATCCATGTAATAATATGGATCTCAAGTTGGACTATTACTGACAGTAAGGAACAACAGTAGACAAGCTGTCAGTCTTATAAATCTTATCTCTCAGCCTCTAGATCACAAATCTACCATCCCACCCTAATATCATTGTTTTGAAACCCTTTTCTTGAGGAGGGAAGATACTGTGCTCAAAAATATCAACAACATGGTGGAGGTTGACAATTAGTCATTTACAGGATTGCATACTTTTGTTACCACRACCACAATATTGTATGTTTTTATTCTTCTTCTATTCCTTTCAAAATTAACTTTCTATTCCTTTTGAAATTAATAATAGTAACTGACCCTAAATTTCATTACAAAAAAAGGGAGGAGCAATTTCAAATTGGTAGAACATGAAGCCATAGTGAAAATATGATATTTTCAGGTGAAAGAGATAAACTTTTAGCTGAGCCTTAGAATCAAAGTGAAGCTTTATTCACACCTAAGACAATTATTCACAATTTATTTATCAACTGCAAATGCAATAACTATCTCACTTTGATGGAAAGGCTCAGCTTCCACAAGAAGGCACTGGAACTATTTAGCAATGTAGTAATGGAAAAGTCTATTTCACTCCATGAAACAGAATCCAATTTAACCTAATTATCAAGAAAAACAAAATTTTAGCTTTGGAATCCAGAATCCAGGGATGGTTTTTTCATATAGTGTGATTAGCATTAATCAACGGTTAATTCCATAGGTTTTTTAAGATTTCCTTAATGGTCCAGACACTTAGAATCCAGAATGTGAGGCCACAGAAACAGAAACTCATAAAACAAAAAGGAATCTGGAATCCAGATTAGTGAATTCAAATGTTTCCTAATTGTAAAAGAGTTGCTGATGACAAAAAACTTAGMTAGGATGTTTCGCACTGCTAAGTCCATTACAGGCCCTAGGAGGATGAWTAATTTTATAGTCCAATCCAACAATTAAGTCTCTGACAGAGCTAACCTAACCCTTATTCAAGCCTAAATCAAATTCCCATMATTTCACAGCTTTCTTACAGAAAATCCCCTTCACAATTAATAGAATCACATTTTCYACTAAAAAATATAGTGTTCATCAGAGTAAATTGGACAATGTCAGCTTGAAGAATAGTCAATCAAACTGGAAAATAATTTTATACCACAAAATATATCAATTTTACCTTAAGCTCAAATGTTTGTAAGAAAATTCTAAACCTTTTCAACACAATTAACAAGATTTCCAGCTATAAGGCTATAAGTAGACTTCAAATGCAAATGCAAACTAAAGCAGATAACTCAACTCGAGTCAACTCAACTAACATAGTTGAATAAAGTGTTTATCATATAGGAAAAAAAGTGTACTAGTCAAAGTGTACCTTTTATATAATGTGCTTTACTAACARAACAAAAAATCCCTGCAAAATATAGAGTAATAAGGTGTAGTACCCTAAAGTGTATTTCACATTTAACACACAAAGCACTAAAAAAAGTTCAGAAGTTGAGAAAATAAACTTGCACAGCACAATTGTAGTACATTAGTAAATCTATGATAATCTCTGTTCTAGAATCTGAGATTAATAAGTTGGCAGAGAYAAAGAAGTTATTATTAGAAAGAGTGATGCATACAAACAGTCTATTGTAATGTATGTTTATAAAATAAACCAATATTGTAAACCTACCGTCTGCGGATAGTGAAGACCTCATCCCAGATCCTCTCTTGGACATAGYAATTTTATTGTAGTGATAATCTACAGTGGTAATATTAAGAAAAGGGATTAAACGGTGTGTAGCATGAACAACTGAACTAATCACCATTACATAATAAAACATGCTGAAACTAGTTAACTTGAACAAACAAAACAGTGTTGAGTATTGCCTTTATATTCGTKATGTTCCCATCGCAACGACACATTAAGTTACTTCTATGTGTTCCGGAATCTTTTCTGTCGTTGTTTCGTACAATTGATATTGTTCTGAATTAAATTATTCACCGAATCAAAATTTAATATCGATTATACCTACAAGCACGTTGAAAAGTTGGTTGGATACCTAATTAAGTTATACATATATGTTTAACCCATCTACTCTATCAGTTACTTTTAAATATCTAGCAGAAAAAAATGTGGTTTGTTATAAAATATTGGTATTATAAAGAACTCGTTCAAAACATAGAACAAATGATCAAAGAAATTTACACCAGCCAAATGTAAACAAAGTGAGATTGGGATCAGCTATTGAAAGCCAATTTATTTGGACGATTTATAGACCCGAAACWGGAATGATTTATTCTTTCCTCGATTCTATATGYTACACTCCATCTCAGAATGAGGGAAGCTTTTTAGATCAAGCACAACGAACAGTCTGGAAGCACCAAACTTGAACCTTACCTCAAAGTCCAGTCCGCGTTATTTAGCCAAGACGCTTAACCGGTAGATTATCATGGTTTTCCACASTTTAACTCCAAATACTCAATACTTAATGAAAGTTTTTTTCAACAATATTGATATATAGTTTGACGGGAAGAGGTGAAATACGTAAACGTCCCTAAAGTAATTTTACTCACATTGACCCGTAGAGATCTGTAGAGGTTAGTCGTCCAACGACTTCACAGAAAAAAAAGACCTCAGCATCATCATACCCAAMAAAGCTTGGAATATGGACTCAGTAAATTCTGTTTTTATGTATAAATATTTWCCATTCRTAGGAAAACTGGAGCAAAACGATAGAAATCAGTGTTCCACATCGGTTCGACTGCATGAAATTATCCTGTCATTGAGAAGTTCAACAATTGTATAAAAAATCCCTTATATGGTAATGATTGTTGATACAGGGGTACCCAAGCGCTGCCCGCTTGATGTCCGAAAAAATCGATTACAAATTTGTCAGACCATTCCGCTTACACGTTTTTATAAATATTTCACTTTATATCTTAGGATTGCTTCTCTGTMTGTGATCAAAATTCTTCCTTCTTATTCTCAATATTTTATAGTTGATATATGTACTGTCTTCTCCCCCGTGAGTATTTTCAAACTTGAAAAGCAAKACGAAACAAATAACCGAAAACAAAACAGGCAAAAGATCAAATAAGAAAGAAAGGCTAAAGAAACTGAATAAATTAAGAATATAAAGACAATTTAATGCATCTTGGAATATAACACAAACCATTTTTAAAATGTGAAGTGACGTCACAATGTTGGGAGAAAAGGGTAACTTCTGTATGAAGGCAATGATAGTGAGTTAGTTWTAACTTAARATTTTCAACTGGTCRCTTAAATCCCAAGAAAACGGTAGATGCAARGTCGGRGCAGTATTTACGTCACTGTCRAATCAACTGCGTCATAACTGTCATGACCAGTGCACACAGGCAAACACGGCACACTCCCCCATTATATGTCCCTTGACACTCGCTTACTCTGAATGACATTTCAATATATCGATGTTTTCATTTGAACGTGAAAGATTAGTGGGACTAATAGTTAGCATTGCACTCCAAATAAAATGTTTTTTTTTGCTCTTTACTAACAATTATTGTTTAGTATTATACTAGAGTTGAGTCATAAATCCATGAAACAAAATTTGCCTATTAAAGTGCAATAGTACAATAGACACAAAAGAAACAGGGCAATGAGAGCGTACTAAGGTGCATTAGTCTAATATCTATTTCAAGGGTTTTTTGACTTCACTCTAAACATAAACAGAGTCAGACGGACGAGAACAAGTCAAGCGTGCATCGAAATAAGAACCCAATAAGGCCCAGATCAAAGGCAATTGCAATGAAGAAAATCATCTTCCTTTTGTCTTCTTCATCTCTTTTAATCCCCAGGTCTGTTATTTGTTGTTGTTGTTGTTTGTGTTTTAAGCATAGCCTTATGTGACAGTGTTATCTGCCGGTGTAATCTGTTTCACTTCATTTTCACTCTATTTAATCCTTTTTGTGTTTTTGCATAGCCTGCGAGTATTTTTTTTATTACAATAGATCGTTTTCACCATGAAAATCAAAAGATAAAGACCGGCGGATAGGTTGGAGGAATGGTCAATAGATACCAATGAGAAATCCTTCTTCTAGATGGCCGCTGTGTCATAACCTCAGTGAAAACGAAGAATATAAGCCCACTACACGCACCCTTATATGTTCTTATGTTTGCATCGTATCGAGGCTTTTTCTTAGTTGTCGCGCGACTAGCATAGGTGACGAACCCCATCCTGAAACATTATACAGACATTCTGATACATGAAGGACGCAATTTTTTTCAACTAACTTATATTTTGCACTTCAACCCTCTATWGTGGAGTTCTTTACGCTTAGCCTACTTGTCAAGACTTGTCATCGACAGTGAAAGAAAATGGCTAGAGTCATTTTTATCCGTCTGTGAAACAATTACGATTAGTCAGTGTTTAATAGTAAMTATWAGGGTGTAGTAGGCTACCAAAAGGCAAAATCAAAACCGTGTTTGCCTAATTAGTTTGTCGCATGTCATAAGTTAAACTATTGGGAGCTAATAAGGGGTAAAAGTATTTAATAGTAGAAATCCTATTTCACAGACGGATGAAAATGACTCTAATTAACTCTTTGATACTGGTCGATAAAAAAGTAATGATACATAGGCCCGTAGGCTGCATACAGCTGAACCCCCCAGCCTACGGACCTGCTTTCGACTGTTTTACGTTTGCTCGACGGAAATCACACTCTAAAAAAAGATCAGAAGTAGTGAGAGGAAAGGATATAKAGAGAGAAATGACACAAATTAACAAATTTCTTTATTTTTAATAAAAACACCGTATCTCTTTTGTACATCGACWTTGACTAACAATATTTTAGTAAGACAAAATAAGATGACASTAGCATTGAAAAAACTGTTGGACTAACTGCTGTTAAATGATATTAATAGATAATACCCTTTTTCATAAGCAAAGAGGTGGTAGCCAATACTCCTGTTAACAGGTCCCAGCGCCATCTTAAAAGGTAACCTAGCCTGTACATCAAAGAGAGACACAGCAGTTGAGCTTGCAATGATAGATACCCGTGAATAATTGTCTTAGTGAGAAAACAAACCTTATCCAACACTGCAGCTTCAACTTATGATACAAAGGTTTGGCTACCTTTCAAGATGGCGCTAGGAAGTGTAAAATGGAGTATTGTTTTACCCATGGATATTATAACAACCATTTCCTGGCAGCTAAATTAGTGTTTGTTTACAAATTCAAATCAGTTTTATAATACTAGTTTTGATTTTTAAATCAAAAAGTAGGTTMAAAGTAGGTGGTTATAAATTTTCCGTTGGCTTCACTGAGATCACTTGTACTTTGCCGCCAAGCTTCGGGCTCACTACTGAGTATTTGAAAAACGTCCATCCATGCGCAGCTCCTCCTGACACAAAAAAATACATTAACAGATGAATTAATGAGCACATAAAAGCATACGCGCATCTCTCGAAAAGACGAATGGAAAAACGGACAAGGCAGAGGTTGAACGAATCACTCAATCAATCATCTGCGCAAGTACGCAAGCAAGCAAGCAAGCAATTAAGCCAAAAAAAATGAATGCATTTATTGAAGCCAATCAGTAAACAGCTATGACGAATTAATCACATACCATGTTCCCCTGATCTATTCACAGCCACGATGCCACCACTGAATCCTGGGTAATACTTAACAATTCGTCCTAAAGCTAACTGAGCAGCCTCCTGTGGGGACTTGCCTTGTCTCATATATTCTACTGTAATTAAACTACACAGAGAAAGCTAGTAGATAAATTAGTCTGCACAATACATCATTGGCAGAGGTACCCTGCATTATCACGGTAAATAAGACATGGATGTTAACCTTGTTGCCTTTGATGAGAAAAACATGGAATTATGCAATAATCATTGCAAGAGAGTCATTTCTAATTAAAAAGAAAAAGTCATGTGACACATATGCGCACTATGTACAATGAAACACAGCTGCTCCATTATGATGTGATTGGTTGCCAGATTTACGAAGGGTGGGTTGAAGGCAAGGTAGTTAAGATAACAAGGTGCAATCCATGTTATTTCTGGTAAGAATAGACCAATCCATAATTCGCTTGGATGAACACGAAACAATGGCTTCATTTCGAGGCTGGAGTTTTCAACAAAAGATAAAACTCCAGGCTCGAAATGAAGCCATTGTTGTTCATCCAAGCGAATTAGGGAATGGTCTATTACCTTGGTAAGAATCTCATCATGACGTCACCATCTCCAGTAGCTGCCGCACCRCCAACATCATTATCTACGTAAGCACCGGCACCAGCAATGGGGGAGTCTCCTACGCGGCTATACAGAAGTGAATCATTGTTGTTCAAAATCAGGAGGGAAGGGCGAGATCATAAGTTAAAACTTCAAATGCATTAACGGTATATTTTTTAATATAACAAGTTTTATACCATGGACTATCACAAATCCAACATTCTGATTGACTATAGTCTATTCATGTTCGCATGACCATGGTCGCATCAAGAAAGCCGAGAAATTTCGAAACAAAGTTGTCTTTTTTATGATCTTCTTTTACATTTTTTCTGTTTGGTGGTTACCAGAACAATTTGACCATTTGGTCTGCGTCAGTGAACTACGAGTTGATAGTACATTAAGCCGTGGTTCACTCGACTTCGTGGTCTAATTGTTACACATCCGTTTTACCTCAATGAACCAATTAGAAACTCAAAAATCAAATACGACAAACAAAAACGTACCCTGGAACTTTGTGATTAGCGCCGTTAGTTGATGTTCCTCCTGCTATATTYCCCTCTTTGTCTATGACTATCATGCCTAAGACATAACATATTTTTATTCATTAGGAGTGCGAAAACTCATTTCCCAACCCTGAATGTATATCYACAGTTTGACACTCTCATTAGAATTCACATTTTTT